CTCTCTGCCACCTGCGGCCTCACATCCTCCCCTGGAGCTGAGCTCACCCAGGCGTGGCAAGACTTGCAAATGCCCTGCTGCATGCTCACCTCAGCTGGTGGGATGCCCTCGGGGGGGCGGCAGGGCAGCACAATGCCCTGGTCGATCGGCACCTCCTTGGCTGCCGGCTCCTGCTCAAAGTTCTTCCGCAAGTCTGGAAAGCAGCACGGGCAGCATGAGAGCCGGCACAGTCAGGCCCCATCCCAGCCCTGGAGACCCCCACCCGTGCCCCATGGGCTCTGTGCTGCCCACACTGCTGGGGCACAGTAGGGACCACCCGCCCAGGCCGGAGGACACAGGCCACAGCTCAGGTCTGGCATGGGCAGGCGCCGCGGGGCGGCACTCACAGGCAATGCGCACATAGGCCTTCTGGCTCTTGGTGGTGCCCGAGGAGCTCCAGGCGACGCACTGGCACCAGTACTCCTCCAGCCCAAAGATCTTCTCCACCTGCTGCCGGGAGATGTCGATGCGGACCTCCATCACGGGCAGCCCTGGGCGGGGGGTCTCATCAGGCGTGGCCGCCACGGCCAGGCAGGCTTGGGGGGCTGGCGGAGCCACCCCTGCCCACCTGGCCGCCTGCCCACCTCACCGCCCTGGTGACCCTGTGCCCTAGGGCTGAGCCCTGACCTTTCCCCAGGCCTCACCTGGGCTCCCTGCCCAGCTTGGGGGTGAGTCTGCCTGGCTCTCCTGGGCACAGTGGCCCGGTGCGGGAGACAGGGCAGGACCCAGTCCTGCTCAGCCTTCAGTCATGAGCCACCAGTGCCCTGGGAGGGGCCCTGGGCAGACCCCTGCCGAGCACCCCCCTCTCTCCGTGGGGAGCAGACGTTCCAGCCCTCCAGCACCTGCCCCTGGGCGCACTGGGGCTGTGTGGCCAGCAAACATGGTCCAGTGGCGGTCACATCCAGTCCAGCCCCTGCCTGAGGCAGCATCAGCCCTGGCCGAACCAGCCCAAACAAAGCATCAGGTAAAGTCTGCATAAGCCTACCGTCAACCCTGGCACAACACAGGCCCCACAGCTGAGCCTGCCACGGAAGCCACGTCCTGCTTCTATGCAATGCTGTCAATACACACTCAGGAGGTCCTGGGCAGAGGCCGTGGCCCACTACAGAGGAAGGCAAAACCCTCCTAGTTGGCACCAATCTGAGCCTTCCTGACCCCAAACGCAGTCTGAGCCAGAGCAGACGGGCAGGACCCGGTACCGGGCCCTGCAGGAGCATTGGCACAGCCTTGTGTGCCGCCGAGCATGGCAGGCGCCCAGTGCCAGCACCCCTACCGGAGCTGCGGTCAGTGCTGTGCTGGGTGATGTGGTCGCCCTGGTGCACCCACTCCCCATTGCACTTGAAGTAGATCTGGGTGGCGGGGGTGGCCCGGCAGGCCAGGCTCACGGGCTTGTTCTTGACGATGTAGACGTCCGCCGGCTCCAGCAGGAAGTGGGGCAGCAGGTCCCAGGTGGCCCCGGGCAGGGGGTTGGCAGCCGCGGC